TCAAAAAAAAAAAAAAAAAACAAAAAGGGCAAACCTGGATTTCAATATAAAGACTTAGCCACATTATACTTTCCAAAGACGAAAGGGTTAGATTCATTTGAGTTGCTATATATATAAAAAAGCTGCAATTTTATAGTGATAATTAAAAAAACTGAAATCCAGCTACTGCTTCAGAGCAAACTCAAAGTTTTTAATACTGTCAGGCACAAATATTTAAAACACATGAGTACTGTCTGGCTCAGCATTTCCCAGGGTGTGATACATGGTTAATATTAGCAGTGACAGGAAGTTGCTTCAGCCCTAGATAATCTGAAATTCCCTGAGATTTGTTGTAAACCTGGCTGCCCCTTCCTAGCCAGATCTTGTTGTCTCTGTTTTTCATAACTCCTAATGTCCAAGTTGTGCCCTTACAAGGAAGGACACAAAGGTTATTTAACCTGCCATACTCAGTACTTTGGCACAGAAGAATATATCTACTTAGCTGAATAATACTGCTTTTGAAATAGAGCTTTAAAAAGTAACTAAATCTCAACTTTGAAATTTTGATGAAACTTACAAGAAGTAAATAGAGATAATAAAATAGGAAAGGAAATAAACAATAACCAATGGCTTGTCTGTACTCCAGCAACAGTAACAAATTAGGAAATAGAAGATATTTTATTGGTAACAATAATGAACAAAATTAATGAAATGGGACTTTGTGAGATGTGTTTAAATCTGAAGGCTAAACTCTGTGAGGCGGGATCAGAAAAGGCTCCAACAAAGAGGCCAGCCGGGTTCTAGGTGGGAAGAACAGACATCAGTCCGGCAATTCCTCACAGGTAATTTTACAGGTAATGCCAGCGGGGCCAAAGTTTCAATAAGCTTTTAAAAACTATAGATCGCAACAAAATGCTTCTAAAATTCAACAGGCAAAACAGAAGCGTACCAGAAGGAATCGGGCTGAGCGCGCCACGAGCCGAACGTCCGCTTCTGCCAACAGCTCCAACTGGGCCACGCGGCCCGCGGCGTCGATCACGGCGCTGCGGCAGAGGAAGCTGCGAGAGGAACAGAGCTGCCTTAGCCTGGCGCCCCAGGCGCCCTGGGTTTGCTCTTCCC